CTTCATCATGCTGCTGTACTTAGTCTCTCTGGTTTGCTTCTGAAGGTTTCTGAGGTCTTTGTTCAACTCCTCCATGGTCAAAACAGCTGTTCGTCTCTCCATAAGCCTTTAGGAAAGGAGATGCCCTTAGAGTCTGGGGACGTACAGCACACAGGACTCCTACCCAGAAGCATCTAGTGACTTAGAGAACTGCCAGCTGCCTCAGACTGGTTTTGCAAAATCTTCTCACAATTCTAGCAGTTCAGGGTTTTCTCTCCTGCCCTAAGCGTTAGGATTAATGCTCAATCCCAAGAGCTTTAATGTAAGCATTCCTGCTGGTAAGCAGCCTTTCAGTTAAAGACACTCAGAACCAGTCATTAGCAGCACATTCTAAGGTAAACCAAAACAAATGAAAACCATGAGCATGTCCAACAGGAGCACAGCAGCCAAGAGCAATGCTCTGGGGCGGACAGGTGGTGCGTACAGAGCTGGAAAGAGACACTTACCCTATGACTAGTTTTCCTATGTCATCTGCTTCTGCAGAAATAGTTTGGAGCTGCTCTTGGGACACTGAGGGCCTGACCCACAAGTAAGCATAGTCACACGACACCAGGTCCTTCAGGAGGCTTATGTGACCCTGGAGGAAGAAAGCAAAGCTGTCACGGCTGAGGGCCAAGGTGAGGGGGCGAGGAGGGAGGCAGCTGCTGCTCTCTGGACTTCTCAAACAATTGAAGAGGGTCCAAACACCCCGCTGCCTTGCGCTTTGTACCTCTCAAAAGAAACGTGAAGCGCTGACGTTCCGGCTGCTTCGTTCTTCCGCAGCCATAACCAGCTGGTGTGAACACGACATGAAAGCAGCCTGCGGGGCTGCTCTCCGCGTCCTGCTCAGCCACACGCAGCTGACTCACAGTTCAGCCTGGGAAGTGGCTTGCCACACTCAGAGCTGCCTCTCATGAGACACGTAGCAAGTCACATGGCTGGCCCAGTCCCTGCTGCCACCACCACCCTCGTGCTCGCAGACAGGGACTTTGCTCGCCCTTTTAAGAACACTTCATGGTCTGCAAGGAATTCACCAGATGCTACAGCAGCATCCCAGGGGCAGACTGGGAACCTGCTGGCTTCACCTCTTTCCTGACACTGGAAGAGCCACGGTATCTTCCATCCTGTCCACAGCCTACGCCACCCATTCCTTCAGGTCAGCTAACTACACCACCGTGTTTTGGCAGTTTTTCCCTTGAACTGGCAGTGGCAGCCACCTGCTGTTTGCAGGCTGCAGAGCTCAGGTCAAAGCAACGCCCAGAACTCGGCTGAGTCTCCACGCAGGATCCCACAAACCCACGGCGTCCCATGCTCCAGGACTACCCGAAGCAGTAACACAACCCTACCACTTTTCATACTTTTCTCATCAGAAGGACTTGCTCCACGTACTCCTTTTCTAGAACCTCTTTATCCATTTGTTGATCCCCATAGACACGCTCCACCAGTGACTGCAGCTCCCGAATTAGCTTCTGCCGAAGCTCTTCATTCTCAATGTGGCGAGCGAGGTGCACCCTGTGACAAGGGAAAGAACTGCTTTTAGACTGCTTTGGGTTAGTCCAACGCCAATGATCTCAGTCTCCCAACACTTACCAGCTGGATCTTTAGACCTGCTAGAAAAGCAACATCAAACCCCCAAGCAGACATCCTGCAGCAGACCACTCAGATTTAACGTTACCACCGGTGTTTGTACCTGTTGAATTCCGGGAGCATCTCAAGATCCAGCAAGGCGGAATGGGTCGTAATCCTGCCGATTTCAAACTGTGAGATCAGCTCCTCCAGAGTCCTCCCCATCTGCTTCTCTGCAATGTAACCCAAGGAGGTTATGATTTACATTCGCTCTCCAGCAGAGAACTGAAGTCACTGCTTTTCCTTGCAAACCCCAGGCTCAGCGCTAGTGCAGCAGCATGGCCAAGAGGTGAGAGAGGAGGAGCAGGAGGAGGGCTGCCTTCCACGGCACTGACAGGAAGCAGCGACATACGAGAAGGGAACTTCTGGCAGGCACGCACTGGAAGTTGCCCTCTTTGGACGAGCAGACTCTGTGAAGGAACTAGAAACTGGCACATTCTGCCTGGCTCTGTTACACCCTTCAGTGAAACACCCCTTGCATCATTCGGCCCAGCAGAAATAACACCTGGCCTGGAGACTCTGCTGTCCAGTAAAGGTTTCATTCCCAAGCCAAGTTCCTGAAACATAAGCTCATGCAATAGTCACACAGCGAGAGCAAAAGGAGTAACTGAGTCAACCTCTCACGGTCTTTCAGGTTAAACAAGTGTGAAAGATGTGTTACTTGGCTGCAATCATTAACTACAGAATACAAGTTTTCCCAAGAGCTTGCAGAAGGCTTCTTCACCTTGAGAAGGACGTTGTCCAGTAGGAAGTCTTTAAACTTTAGACTCCACTTACGTGGACAGAAACATTGCCACCATCCCAGGCCACCACCGAGGCCTTCCCAGGAGCTCTGCAGAAGCCCTGGCAGCATTTTGGTGACAGAAGCTCCTTCAGACTGGTTGCTTGACTACTATTTCCTGATCCTTTTGAACACTGTCAAAGTTCTTGAATACAAGAATAAACTGGGAACCAATTTGCCCAAAAGTCGGCATCATGGAGTGTCCGAGCAAGTGCCGAGCCCGTTCCCCTTACCTGCAAATCCAGAGCCACAATTGGTGATAATGTCCAGCAGAGCCTCTGGCAAGTAGCCATCCTGAGCAAAGCGCTCCAGGAAGACGTCCCCCTGCCTTTTCGACAGCTTAGCACCGTCCTTGTTCAGGAGCAGCGGGAGGTGGCCAAACTGAGGGGGATCCCAGCCAAAGGCTTTGTAGAGCAGGAGGTGCTTGGACGTTGAGGTAAGCCACTCAGTTCCTCGCAGAACGTGGCTGATGGCCATGTAGTGGTCATCCACCACGTTTGCCAGGTGGTAGGTGGGGAAGCCGTCCCCCTTAAGAATCACCGGGTCGCCTTCCACCTCTGCCACTTCGTGCTTGTTCCAGCCGTAGACCAGGTCCTGGAAGGGCTCCACGCCCCTCTCCAGCCGGAAGCGCACCACCCAGTCGAGGCCCTGCGACAGCTTCTCAGCCACCTCTTTGGGCGTCAGGTGCCGGCAGCGGTTGTCATACCTTCAAGAAAGGAGAGCAGGGGTCGCAGGTTAACACACACCAACCCCCACCACGCTTACATGGGATCAAATCTAAACAAAGTCCTGAATTTCAGCTGTGGTCTGCCCATTACACTCCAGTCAGCTTCTCATCTCTGGACGTCACTCCCCTCAGCTTCTGAGGGCGCAGAGACAACACTCCCAGCACACACACCTTGTCCCAAGGTGGGAGCGCGCAGCACAGACGCAATGGCCGGGGAAGAGGACTGCCTACCGTGGGGTCTGCTGGTTCCGCAGCGCCTCCTTCTTCAGCAGCTGCAGGCGCTGCGGGGTGCAGAAGCAGCGGTACGCCGCGCCGCGGTCCAGGAGCACGTCGCAGGCCTGCCTGTACAGGTCGAGTCTCTGCGACTGCCGGTAGGGCCCGAACGCACCGCCACGGCGAGGGCTTTCGTCAGGGGCAATGCCTGGAACATGGAAAGGCAGCGACATCAGGGCATGGAGCGCTGCCTGGGGAGCCCACAGCAGGAAAAACAGCTAAAGCCAGTGAATGGTCGGGCAGCTCCGATGGGTGACCCAGAGCAAGGATCAGTCAGGGGTAGGTGTACAAAGGGTGCTTCAGAAATACAGCCGGGATCGTGGCAAATTGTTTCACCTGCTCCAGAATTAGCATTCAATGCAGGGATCTCCAAAATTTATCTGCTTATGGGGACACCTGCGGGATCCGGCTCTAAGTTCATTGCAGTTGCTTGCTCTAGAGTTGCCCTTGCTCTTAGGGTCAAGGAAGAAGCAGAGGACTCAGAGCACAAAGCGACACCTTCAGACGCCTTTTGGTGAACGCCGCACGTGCAGTTTGTCCTTTCATTTATTGTAAAATTTGTCAGGGGGGGCTGTGAGCAGCTGTGTGCTGCTCCCGGCACGAGGCGTCCGGCCTGGCCCCGCGGGGTGCTGTGCCCTGCCCCGTGCCCTGCCCCGTGCCGTGCCCCCCCCGCTACCTGCCCACTGCAGCATGTCCTCGATGCCGTCGGCGGCGCCCTGCAGTGCCCGCAGCCGGTCGGTGTCCTCGATGCGCAGCACGAAGGCCCCGCGGCGCTGCCGGGCGAACAGGAAGTTGCAGAGCGCGGTGCGGAGCCCCCCCAGGTGCAGCCGACCTGCGGCGGGGACGGCGCGGGGCGGTCACGGCCGGGGGGAGCCTCGGGGCGGCCCCGAACGCGCCCCCCGCCCCCCGCCCGCCCCCGCCCGGTACCTGTGGGGCTGGGCCCGAAGCGCACCCGCGGCCCCGGCCCCGGCCCCGGCCCGGCCGCGCCGCCGCCGCTCAGCGCCCGCACGGCCCGCGCCATCCCGCAGCACCCGGCCGGCACCGCGCCGCTTCCGCCCTCAGCCACGGCACGCGCTGCACGCCGCTTCCGCCCTCAGTTCCCAGCCAATCACAGAATGCTTCCGCCCTCACTGCCGGCACGCCCTGATACCGCTTCCGCCCTCAAGAGCCAGCCAATCACAGACTGTTTCCGCCCTCAGTGCTGGCACGCCCCACACACCGCTTCCGCCCTCGGTTCCCAGCCAATCACGGAGTGCTTCCGCCCTCAGTGCCGGCTCGCACTGCACGCCGCTTCCGCCCTCAATGTCCAGCCAATCACAGCGCCGTCTCCGCCCTCAGGGACGTCGCGTTCAATCACGCTTCTTCCGCCGTCGTTTCCCAGCCAATCAGAGCGCGTCTTCCGCCCTCAGTGCCGGCACCACCTTTCAGGGCACTTCCGCCCTCAGCGTCCAACCAATCACGGCGCCACTTCCGCCCTGGGTGCCGGCTCCGTCCCGCCGCGCCCCTTCCGCCCTCAGCGCTCAGCCAATCAGCGCGCCCGCAGCCTGCAGGGGCGGGGCTCCCCGTAAAGGCCCCGCTGCCCCCTTCTCGCCGCGCGGGGCTCGGGGCCGGGCCGGGGGGGGCGGGGCTACGGGTGCCGGCGCGGCCCAGCCCCCAGCGCTCCCCGCGGCGGGCGCTTCCCGGCGTGCCCCGCGGCAGATTGTACACAATCATCATGGCCGCCGCCGCGCCAGGTACGAGCGGGCGGCACCGGGGCGGGGGGCGTCGGGGGGCGGCCGGGGGCGGCTGGGCCGCACGGGGCGGGGCCGGGGGCCTGGGCCGGGGGCCTGGGCTGGGGCTGGTGTCGGTGTCGGTGTCGCCGTCGCGCCCGGTGCCGCACCCGGTTGCCGGTCCCTTCCCGTCCCGTCCCTTCCCGTGCGCTCCCGCAGGTGCCGAGGGCCCGGCCATGGAGGCGGAGGCCGGAGGCTGCGGGGGGGAGGGCGGCTCCCCGCAGGGCGAGGGGCGCCGGCTCCCCCCGGCCTCCGTCAGCAACGGCGGCGCGGCCGAGAGCGGCGAGGAGCTGGTGGAGCTGAAGGTGATCTGGAACAAGAACAAATACGACGTCAAGGTCCGGCTGGACGGCACCGGCGCCGACCTGAAGCAGGAGATCCACTCGCTCACAGGTCGGTGGGGGCGGCCCCGAGCCCCTCGGGGCGGCCGGGCCCCCGGTAACCCCCCCCCCGTCCCGCCTCGCCCGCAGGCCTCCCGCCCGCCATGCAGAAGGTGATGTTCAAGGGGCTGCTGCCTGAGGAGAAGACGCTGCGGGAGATCAAGGTGACGAACGGAGCCAAGATCATGGTGGTGGGCTCCACCATCAACGACGTGCTGGCGGTCAACACGCCCAAGGAGGCCGCCCAGCAGGAGGTCAAGGCCGAGGAGAACAAGAAGGAGCCGCTCTGCAGGCAGAAGGTTGTGGGCGGCTCCGCGAGCCCGGGGGGCAGCGCTGCGGGGCTCGGGCGGTTCTCCTGTGGGGCTCTGCAGCCACCGTGGGGCCCTCGGAGCAGGGCAGGGGCTTTGGTTGGGACAGCCGAGTGTGGAGAGGGTCTCACAGCACAGAAACACCCAGCCCAGCAGAGCCTGGTGCTCAGGACACCTCCTGTGCTGCTGCCAGGCACTTCGGGCAGAAACGTTAAATAAGGGAAACGTTTCATGGTTGTTAGCTCAAACGCAGCCAAGATTAATTATATCCAAAGCCTAACTAATTTTGGTAGACACAAAAGAGCTTGATTTCCAAAAACTGCCTCTAAATGGACACCAAGAGAGCAGTTCCCTCAGCTTCCCAAGCGCTGCAGGGAGCGTGGTTGCTGAATGCTCCTCTCGTGTCGAAGCGTTGCCTCCTAGTAGGAAGCGAAGCACGATGCAGCCAGGCTTGTTTTGGTAGCTGTGCTGCAGCACGGTGGGCTGATAAAGCATTTTCAGCTCAAGGTACCACCAGCCCCTCTCAAAATAAATTTAAATTAAAATTAAAACGTGCATCGTTGATCTACAACCTTTATGAGACGTGCTTTTGTTTCTCTGTAATTTATCATAGTTCACGTTCACTGTAAGTTCCATCATTGTTTAAAGGTACTCAGCAACTTACGAGCTGTGAGCATGTTTTTCTTAGTTACTACTGCTCTAATCTGGCCTGGTTTGCTGCTGTGTTGCGCTATGCTGCGCTGTCAGATGTGGAGGGTTTTCTGCCATTCACTGAGTGTAACACTGGACTGTTCAAACTGTCTTGCCAAATGCCACCAATGTGATTCAGCATGTACAACGCTAGAGTGAGGCGTGGGCTTTGTATACATACAGTGTAGACGTGAATTCTACGAGGGACGTTACCCTTTGCATCGTATTGGGATTTTATTCATCTATATAATTTGTTTAGACTCTCCTAGGAAGTGCTTTTTAACTTTGAAAATTAACAGTTCCCGTGTGATAAGTGACTGAATAGTTTTTAACTGGCGCTGTTGGGTGATGGTCAGCTCAGGGCGCGTTAGAAGTAACGTGAACAATTCTCTGGTGTTTCTGTAAATTCTAACTTCTGCTTTTACCTTGTAGCAACACAGAAAAGTATTGGATAAAGGAAAACCCGATGATGTGATGCCTTCTGTTAAAGGCGTTCAGGTCAGTAAATGAGTACTTGAGACGTTGTTGCAATTAGAAAAGAGAGGGCTTTTTCTATGGCCTGAGACCTTTCTTTGATGGCTTTACCTCTCCTTCTTGTCTTAGTAGAAAACTGGGAGATCAGATCATCTGTATGGTTAAAAATCCAAAAGGACAAGCCTTCTCCTGTTAGTGTTTCACTGCACCTTACTGTGTTGCTTTTTTTGTAGGAGCGCCTGCCAACGGTGCCATTATCTGGCATGTACAACAAATCAGGGGGGAAAGTAAGATTGACCTTCAAACTTGAGCAAGACCAGCTATGGATTGGTACAAAAGGTGAGCGACTCAAATTCTGAGATGAATAATTAATGTTTGGGGTATAAGTGAACTGTGTGAGCTAGAAAGTTTCTGATGTGATTAAATTGTGTTCGGGGAATAATATTGTTATTTTATTACCTCAGAATTAAGTTTTGCTGCTGGTTCTCAAATGCTGTTCTCTCGTATTATCGACTATTGGTTGATATTTTATTTCTGTTCTTGGAAAACATGAGTTCAGTTGTGCCAGTAGACTGACGTTCCAATCTGCTATTCATAGGTCCAAATATAAATTACAATATTTGGCATTTCTAACGTATCTCGAAAGTACTTCATAAACATTGGTTTGATGCCAGCATCACATAGCGGCTCAATGACTTGGCTGCGACTCAAAAGAGAATCGTAGAGCTGGGAATAAGAGTAGGAGTGCTGGCATCTCTGTCGTTATTTGTCCTTCCAACCAAAATCAGTTGGGTGTCTTGTTTCAGTGATGTACAACTGCAGAAACTATGGCATGTGTTGCTGTGCAGAGGAATCAGTTTACCGTCTTGAGCGGTGCCAGGAGGAGCTGACAGTGCTGTGGTGATAACGTGCATTGCTGAGGACGTCTCAGATAATCCCCCTGCCTCCAAAGGAAGCCTTTAGTTTGACCAGGATGGGGCAGTGTTATATTGATGAGCAAGAAGAATAGAAGTGCTTGCTCGCTGTCCCAGTAAAATAACCTAATTGGATGGTAATGTTAGCTTTGGATGGCACCTCCAGCTGCTACGTTATTTCCAAAGTAAGCAGAAATCTCAAAAGTTTTTGACCTTTCCTATGTAGGACAGACTTGATTGTGAACTCGAGGGTTTTCTGTCTTTAAAATCTCCACTGGTACAAATCGCAGTGAGATCTCTTAGGCTAAGTGACAGGGACGCTGCGTTTTTTCCTCTATAACTTGGGTACATGTTGTTTTTTTCTTACTGATAAAGTGTTGTAAATACGTGAGTAGTATTGAGGTAATTAATCCTTTTCCCTCACATTCTAGACCGGTTTCAAGTTCAGTATTTCTGAAGTGCTCTAGATCAGTGCTTCTTAAGCTTTGAAATTTGATTCTTCTTAATAGTCCTCTGTCTTTAATATAACCTGTTTCCCTACTTCCCCGAATCAGCAGCAGCTTGCTTCCTTCAGGGACTGCTTATAATTGCTGGCTGCTGGTGAGAGGAAAACTTCCTGCTCTGAGAAACTCCTGGTAGACGCCAGCGCATAAGGGCCAGAATAAACACAAGTAGCTGTTAACGTAGTTTTTGTTGTTGTGGCTCTTTTTTTTCTTTTTAACTTGGCAGTCTTGGAAAACTGCAACTGATTTATCCCATACACAGCCTCCCTTTGCTTCCCACATCACACTGTACGTTTTTGTAGCCTAAGGGCTGATGAGGGTACGTGCTTCTCAGCTGCTCTGTGTACATTTCATATAGTCATCGGTAGCATGGATTTGCCTGTTGCTGAGATGTTGCGAGAAGTAATTCAATTGTGGGGTGATAAATGAGTGCAAAGCAGGATTTCACTCCGTGAAGGAGTTGCAAGTCTCACAGGGACAGTTTAGAGTCAGCTTAGTTACAGCACTGAGATAAAGAATATTTGTCTTTACAGCCCAGACTGAATATGTTTATCTCCCTGTTCACCTTCTTAAGGAGGTGGATTTTTTTCTGGTTCACAAGAATTAATTATGTAGAGCTAAGGAATTCTTTGTTCAGTTTACGTTTTTTTCTGTCTTATGTGCAAGAAAGTAATTTTAGGCTGACACTGAAAGCTGGAACGGAAAGGAAGCTTCTTGGAGTTAGGTCTTCAGAAAGAAGCAGGGACATAACTGAGACAGAAAATCTCTGGACACTACACCGTGTCGTTCTTGCTGGTTGCTTCTGGCTGGCTGACCTTAGTCTATCACCTAATTGTAGTCATCTTTTTTTCTTTCAGTTTCCCTTTTTTTTTTTCTTTTTCTTTCCCTACTTAGACATGAATGTTTCCTTGCCTGTGCTCTTATAGTGACAGCTGAGCACTGCCTCGGGTTAAAACCAGAACTAGACCTCAAAGGGTTAGCTAGCCTCTCCCCTCAGCTTCCTTCAGCCTTGTCGTTTCTGCAGAGCGTAGTGTAATCCTTGATAGTCCTGAATATTCTTACACCTGGACGAGTTTTCACTATGGGAGCAATCCTGCTGGTACAAGTGGAGTTCCTTAGGGAGAAACATGAAATTTCCCCTCGCTGAATTTAAGGCCCACATCAGGTACCCTGAAGTACTTCGTGTGCTGCAGAGACATCAAAAGGTGGGGATCTGTGCGGTCCAGTTTGGGATTCCTTTATGTTCCTAGAGCTCCAGCTGGGGGCTGTATGGTGACGTGGAAGATGTTCCTCTCAGCAGCAGATACCCAAAGTTCACCCTAGTGGGAAAGCCTGACACCCGAGGAGCTTTTGGAAATGACGGAGGTGGTGTTTGACGTTAGCATAACATACATCTTCCTCGTGTCTCAGAAATAATACTTTGATCGATTTTGATGTAGAGAGAACAGAAAAGTTACCCATGGGGTCCATTAAAAATGTGGTGAGTGAACCTATTGAAGGACACGAAGATTATCACATGATGGTAAGTAGTGTCTCTACTTTAATTAATAATATCATTCCAGTTACTTCATGCAAATATGCAGGAGGAAGGCTCTCAAAATAGAGCAAGTCTGGGACTGATAGCAATACCAGCCTCGTGTTGTGGAATGTCAACATTGTCTGTGGTCATAATGTAAATATTTTGGGCGGCGTATGGGATATCTGCTACTCCGTGGAACTCTGGGCTGGTCTCACACGAGTGGTAGTGCCATTTAACATCCTCCATCTCGTGACTGTTACAGCAGTGTAAAAATACCCATGCTTTCTTAAAAATACTCATGATTTCTTAATGTTAGTGATATTTTCCTATATCTAGTTGAATTTCTGGTTTCTGTTCTATTTATGTAAATAACAGGTCTTGCTGCTGGTTTTAAAAGGAAAGTGATTTGATTCGGTAATGATTTTTTTTCACACTTAATTTTCTGAAAAACTGGTATTGGTTATAGAAAAGTAACACATTTAAGGAGAGCAGTGCTAATTCTACTGGCTGTTTCTTTTGAGGTTTTGCTTTATGTACTCTACAGGAATTGCAGTAATTCTTCTGAATTCAACTTCTGAAGTTGAAGTAATTTCCTTATATAAGTCTGCTCCCTTTCTTTAGGGGAAGAAAGGGAAAATGCTGTACCTTAGAATCATTGTCTGCAGGAGGGAGCTGATCTAGTCTTTTTGCAAATATTTGGTTTTTGATCACCGATATAAGAAAACCTCTTCCAGAAATGATACAATAATCATCCTAAAACAAGGGTAGAGGTTATTGGCATGCCATAATGCTCCTCTCCGATTTCTGCTTACATAAGTAAGAGAATAGGACATTCTGTCTATTTAGATAGACAAATTAAAATTCTGAGATTTCATTTATGAAAACACGTTTGTTGTCTTAGTTCCTACTTGTCTTCATAACTCTGTGCATAATTCCTTTAGAGACTTACCTTTGGGGGTGCATTAGATTCTGTCTTCCTCAAGTTCCTCGTGTTCTTGAAACTGGCCAAGAGAGTTTGTTGCAGCTGTGATAAAGGGAAGAGCTCATCGCTTAATTGGTTCTTTGCAGTTGTTTCTCAGAGGAACATTTCCTTTAATTGCACACCAAATGTGTGGTGCATACAACATCCTTGAAAGAGGCCGTGGGTATGGCAGACTTGTTTGCTTTCTGCTGTGGGTGAGACGTATGTCCAGGCTGTCTGGTATGAGCTGTTCTGTTTTCCACATGTAAATGTTGTCGTTTTTAACTTTGCAGGCATTTCAGCTGGGCCCAACAGAAGCATCTTACTACTGGGTCTATTGGGTACCAACTCAATATGTTGATGCAATCAAAGACACGGTGCTGGGAAAGTGGCAGTATTTTTGAAAGCACGCTCACCTCTGGCACAGGAAAATGACACAAAGCTAAGGACACTGCTGGGAGAGGCCTCCAACATCCCTGGATGTGATAGTCCTGGAACTTTATTAATAAAATATGATAAACGAGGCATTGATGGAAGCCAGAGGTGATGTTCTTTCACCATTAGTTTACTTTTAACTTAAATTTCACCATCCCTTTTCTGCAGTCAGCTTCAACCATATTTAAAGCAAATACAGTGGAAATCAATAAATCTTAATTCACAAAATACCGTGTGTAATACACTTAAATCTGCTGAGAGTTGATCTTCCAATTTAGTTTTAAAAAGTAAATATTACAATGTATTATCGAGGATTTTTTACATGGTTTGAACAAAAACAGATATTTTCATAATCTTTCAGTTACAAGCATTAAACTTAATTTAGTTACTTGGTTGTGACTGAGAACTTCAGAAACAGTTTTTAAATAATAAACTTTAAACAGTATGCAAAATTGATGTTTAGTAAGCCATATTCTGCTGGCCCTTTTATTTCAGGTTTGAATCTTTGGTAGCAAACCTCTGATTTTGTTTCCTTAAACCCAAAGATGCCGTGTGCTCTCTCTCCCCCTCTCTCAGCTCTGGGTTGGTACTCTGGGTGGCATGTTTGGAGCAGGTGAATACCACTGTGGATGTGTTGTTATCACTGTGCCCCAGTGCTGCTTACTGGCCCATTCCATGCCACTTTAGTTGTTTTCCTCTCGTGTGCATACCTCCCTGCTCCTCTTTTACCTCCTGCCTGGGGTGCTACATTTTAGGAGCATTCTCTTGATTGTGCGTGTTGCAGTCCGGAGCCGTTTTGCAGCCGTTGGTGTGACACTCACCTGTCCCACTGGAAAAAACAAACAAAAAACTCCGGGGTGCGCTGCCTAACGCTGCCTGGTGGGAGTGCACTGAAGGAGAAACACAAATCTCGCAAAGGAAGCGAACCAAAGAGACCTTCCTGTCTTGTTTTTTGTTGGGAGGAGGGCAGAGGTGGGAGAGAGAAGCTCCGATGCCATTTCCCATTCGGAATAACTGCAGTAGTCTTTTGTGACCTGGATTTGACAGTTTAAAAGTATCACGTTCAGTGAACCTTACCAAATGAGGGATGTCTATCTAGCAACTAACTTTTGAAATTTAAATTACCTTTCAGCTTTTCTTTTGCTCAAGTTTACAATAAGTTCTTGCATCTAGGTCTGTCTGAAATACTGCTCCTTGCCTTTGGTTTGTGATATTCTGTGTCATCTCAGCAATGAACGTGCCATTTATCTCAGGTTTTCTGAACGGACCTTTCAGTCCTGAAAAGGTGCACAACCGTAACAGATTGTATCGTGCAGTCAGACTGAATCAGTCTTGCTGTGTGTTAAACCTGCATCTAACAGATCACTTTTTTTTTGTAACACTGTGGGTTTGATATTAATTCATACAAATATCTCAACATTTTGTGAAGCTCACTTAGAAATATCCTTTTTGAATAGTTGAGCTGAATATATCCCACGTCCTTTTTTCCCTTTCCTTGAAGTAGCCCAGTTGAAACTCAGCAGGTGCAAATTCCCAAACGAGTATTTTTTTTTATTTGAGAGACTCAGAAAAGCGTTCATTTTATGGTGTGTTACGGTTGCGTGTTTACCTGTAGACTCTTGATGGCAACATCAGCAGCTTTTGTTTTGTATTTTCAGTTAGAACATCCATGCAATACGACTTTAAGGTGTTTCATATCCAACATATAAACTAGTGGTGTGCTCGTTACTCTTGTAGCTTGAGGTATTTCCTTCCTGTATACAAGCCAGCAGCAGTGTGTCTTGCCGTGAGTGCGCGGAGACGGGCGCAATCCCTGCAGGAGTGCTGCCAGCTCCCCAGAACGACCCCTTCCGAGCGCTCGGGGTGAGTGAATGCAGGCAGAGGGGCTGGCAGCCATTAATTGGAGGTGTAACTACAACTTAAATGCAGCTGACACTCCTATTGTCACTCCTATTGTTTTCTAATTGCCAATCCTGGTGTTAAGGCTTAAATTTCCATTTCAGTACCCAGTGGGAAGTGTGTGCACTCCAGTACTGCATCATCTATTGTATGTGTATGGTATATTAGGATAATTAGTGACACTGTTTCTTTCTGTCACTTGGCTTCACCTTTGCACTTGCCAGTGTTGTTGGTTCTGTGGTTATCAGCTTCCACTTGCTACTTGACCTGCTCGGCCCTGTCTGTACATCACTCATACTCCATTTTCCTTTCCTGTTCTTTCGCTGGCTTGCTCCCTGAGAGGACGTGTACCTTAGTTCCAACTCTTCCCCAGAGTTGCCGTGGCTTCCACGTTCGATGCAATAACTCGGGTGAGTGCAGTGCTGCTGCTGCGGGAGGGCACGCACCCGACCGGAGCGCTGTCGAAGCGAGAAGGGCACCTGGGCAGGCAGAGCACTGCAGGAGTTAGCATTTCGCATTCCCTCCCAAGTGCTCTGCGTCCTGTGCCAGGTACAATAAATCATCTCTAAAGAAACAGAATATAAAAGGTGGTGGTTACAAAGCAGCTTTAAATGTGAAAAAAAGAACATTATAAACTAAGATGGTTGTTTAGGTACTTCAATTTCTAGTTGAATTTGATTTGAAAAATGGAATTTTCTTCTTTTTTTTTTTTTTGTTCTATGTGCAAAGTTTGAATTAAAACACGGGAAGGTGTTGCTCATCTGAAACGCTTTAACTGGTGTTTGTTGGCTTAATTGAGTAGGATTCTTGGGAGTTCTTTGACATGAATTTTCCTGTTGAACTTAGCATCGCTTTTAAAATCCTTTCTCTTTTGGAATCATGGAACTTTATATCTTCTGGTATATACCAATTTTTCCAAGGTGATTCTTGGTGTTAGTGATCATTAACATCTAAGAAAACATTCAGTATCTTTAGTTGCACTGTGTCACAGCTTGTCTAACTAGGGAGCCGTTCCCTAGCCTCTGTCTTGGTTTTGGATTTTACTCTCTGATGACTGTGATGCTCTCCAGAGCAGGTTTGCCATAAGAAATGGTTCTGTGGAAGGATGTGGTGGTTAGCCCTTGGTAAGACAAATATTATGAGTAAAGTGCAAATGCAGTCAGAATTGTAAGTTGGCTGATGAAGATTGTTTTGAGAGCCAACGTGTACTCTTCCATAGGAAGTCTATGGTAATATCTGTGGTGATTCCTATGCAAAAGTTTGATTATTTCTCTTAAATAACGATGTAATGCCTTTCTGCGGAGATCAGGTCCCTGCTGGATACAGATGTAACTCCCCGTGAGCACCGTTTCTGGGTACTGTTCCTTCCAGCATCACGCCCGGTGTTTGATCAGAGCACCCGGCGTGCAGGCGCGGGTTCCAGCAGCGCGCAGGCAGTGTCCCCACGCCGAGGTGGCAGCCGGTGCCCGGAGGTCTGTCCTCACTGCCCTCGCCAGCAGCGTGCCAGGACACCAGTTTTAAGGAACCAGTTACAGAGCTGCTCGGAGCCCTTTGCCCACGGCGAGCTGAAACGCTGCACTTCCTGCCATTCGTTCACCTCTCCGTGCGCCCTGCTGCGAGATTCCTGTTCCTGTCCTGGTTGAGGGTTTGGTTGAGGGTTTGGTGTTCCTTCTGCTGCTGTGCTCTGTGTGAGCGGCTCCTGCGTCAGTATTCGGTTAGGACTACAAAAGGGCATCAATAAACCTTGGGTGGGTTTGAACGTAGACTGCATCATGCGTGGAAATCTTGTATTACTTGCGGGTTTTTCATATCAAGCTTAAGATTAAATTGTTAATGTCCATCAGTGACACGGTTTGGTGAGAAATGTGTAACTAAAGTAAGGATAATCATGAAAAAGAAGAGGTGATCCGAATTAAAAGAGCTAGAGGAACTGGTAGCGTGCAATACATTGTAGCTGGCAACACGCACACAGCCTGTTAAATTTCGTACTTGACGCTGTTTGTACCCATCGCTTCGTAATTAAGGTCCAAATAGCAGCAGTCCACTCGCGGTGATGCCATGCGGGTGCCGTGTGTTGGCAGTGCTCTGTTCTGTGCCCCCTTCGGGTGCCGGTGGGGCAGCCACAGGGCACGGGCGCGCTCTCAGCAGAGCCCGGGCTCTGGTCGCTTGCTGTGCCAACTCAGTGGAGCAAGGTTTGTTCTCAACATTTTCCTTCTTCTGTTTACTCTTTTTTCCTTTGTAACTTTATTTTCCAATGGAACTGTTTTCATTTTAAGTTTCGTACTCTGACCTTTTGCCACCTGTTAGAATTAGGTTGTCAGCATCTTGCTTTGCCAGTTAACGTCCCAGTCGCTGGGGAGAAGGAAGAAAGGGACCAGGAGAGCTGTGGCAAGTGTTGTATGAACCATATGGCCGTTTACCTTCTAGCCAAGGATTTGCTTTCTGTGGCTCATGGAAGTTCACTATGTCTTATCCATGTTCTGAGCAATTCATTTCTTTTTGTCTGTTTGTTTTCAAAGAAAGAAGGTCTTAGATGTTTTTGTCCACTGCAGATTTATTTTAAATGAAATATGTAAGTGCCATGTTTTATGGTATTTTTAAATAATCTATTGCCTATTTCTGGGGAGGGGGAGATGACAACTATTTAGTCTTAGATTTGCACTGCTGGATTTTTTAAGTGTAACCTTGACTGGTTATCCTATTTGTTTTATTCTGTAATATTAGTCTTATGAATTAAAGTTTGATAATTAATTCTTTCTGTGTTTGAGTGTTTCCGTGTTCTGTACGTGCTAACCTCCTTCTCACAGTGTGAACAACCCCGAGTGAATTCACGCTTTGTTTCTGGATAGAAAGACGTTCACAGAAACCCGCAGCAATCAGGGCTCGTTGTTAGTGCTGTTTCTGGTGCCTCTCCTGGGATGGAGATTTGCGTTTGCTGCTGCCCTCCAGCACCTCACACCAAGAGGCTGAGTTACAGGACAGCGCTGTGCTGGTCCCTGTTTGCAAGCAGGGCTCACTCCTGTTTGATGTCGCACCCCGCGGGGCAGGCTCCGCTCTGTTCGCACACAGCCAGCCCACCGAGCACGGCTGCTCAGGAGCTTGGCCTATTACAGGGCTTCCACCAGACTCCACTTTTTAACGCTTAACCTCCCTTTTTTTAACGCTTTTAACCTCCCCCCCGTTAATCCCGACAAGGGGACGCCCCCGTTCAGCGCTGCTCTTGCCGCAACAAAGCCCCCGGGAGGCGATGCCCCCCCCGGCTGGCAGCACGGGCAGCTCCTGGCTCGGGGGGGGCCGGGGCAGCGCCTCCCTCCTGCCCTGCGTCCGAGCCCCTTAAGGAGCGCCGGGGCCGGGCTTCCCCGTGCCGGGCCGGGCCGTGCCGGGGGGGCGGCGGGGAGGAAGCCGCATCCTGGTCCCGCCCGGCCGCGCTGGCTCCGGGGCGCGGCGCTGAGCTGGGGCCGGCCCCGCGCCTCCGCCGTGCCCCGGCCATGGGCGGCCCCGCCGCGCTGCTGCTGCTGCTGCTGCTCCGCACCGCGCCGCGACAGGTACGGGGCTGGGGGGCGGCCCCGGGACGGCTCCGGTACGGCCCCGCTGGGGGGAGCGCCCGGGGGCTGCGGGGAGCCTGCGGGGAGCCGGGACCCCGCGGGTGCGCGGAGCAACGCCGGCCTGTGCCGCCCCCCGGGGGTGCCTGGGGGTCCCGGTGGCAGCCGGGGGTGGGGGGGGCACGGCCGGGCCGCGCTGCTGGGGAGCCGGGCGGCGGGGAGGGGGCTGCGGTGCCTCCCCCTGCCCGCTGCGCGCCCGCTGCCCCCCGCAGCCCCGCTCGGCCAACCCTGGTGGCGGGGCCGCGCGCGGTGCCCACCGTGGGGTCGCCGTCCCCTGCTCGGCGCCGCGGGGCCCTTCCCCGGGAGCCCCCGGCCCGTCCCCTCCTGCCCTCGGGGCTGCGTCCTGCCGGCAGCGCCCGTGGCCGGGGGCTCTGCGAGCCGGCAGCGCACCGGGGCTGCTCCTCGGGAGTGAGAGCAGGGAACAGCCCCAGGGCCCCAGCGGCCGGGCAGGACTGCTGCTGGTGGCCAGCGCTGGGGGCTGAGTTTGGGTCCCCCCAGGAGGAGGGAGAAGGCAGCAGCTCCCGGGGTGGGCAGCGGGACTGGGGCTGGGCAGCCGGCCCTTGGTTGGGTGCCCTGCCACCAAAACCAGCAGGGGTGGGTGAAACTGCCAAGCAACGAGCAGGGGCTGCTGCAGCTGTGCCGGCTGCAGGGCTCTGCCCCGGGGGCACTCTCGGTTCTGGTCCCCGTGCAGGTGGCCATGCCACAGCTCAGTGCTAGGTGCTGGGCTGCAGCCTGCTGCACCCTCACTGGAGGATGTCTGTTGGTGGATCTCGGCCTCGCCAAGCACTCGCCATCCCTCGAGGCTGGGGCGAGCCGACGTGGCGAGCCTGCGCCGTGCTGGAGAAGGGTGGCAGGAAACAGCTGCTCCTCCTGCCCCCCATCCTCCAGGCACAGCGGGAGCTGGCTCTGAACTCACCTACAGACCCAGCAGGAAGAAAGGCAAGAAACAGGAGCGGGGTGACGGCAGGGGAGTGGCTGTGAAGTGTGCTCAGGGCAGCAGCTGCAGGGCGGGCGGCGCGATGCCCATCAGCCTGTGCCGCTGCCGGAGGAATTGCAGCAGCCGGGGGCTCCAGGGGAGCGCATCTCTTGGCCCCGCTGTGCTGTGGCTGCTCTGCTGTCGCCAGTTCCTCCCCACGGGCACGTGCTCGCGTGGAGCAGTGCCGGTTCCTGCTCCTTCGCCTGTCCAGGTCCTCAGGCCAAGCCCTGTGCCTGCTCCGTGTTCGAGGATGCGATGAGCAGCAGGCACGAGGCAGGGAGGGGACGTGCAGGGCCCTGGGGTGCGCATCAGCTGCAGGCCCTCGGGAGCAGCCGAGGCAGTGGCGTGCTCCATCCGCTCCCCCACGGCCATGTACAGAGCAACCCAAATCCATCGGGGGCCCACGGTGAGCCCTGGGCCCCCCCAACCTCAGTTGCTGGCGGTGCGGAGCCCAGGTGCTGCGCTGGCCCTGCCTTCCTGGCGGCCGTTTCTCCCCCCGTGCTGTTTGCCGGCTGCTCTCCTGTTTGCTGACGGGGCGAGGCCGCTGTGTGAGCACCGCGGGTGAGCTGGCGTTTGCCATGTGGGCACCGTGCGGGAGTGGCAGCTCCCCTTTAGCAGCAGGTTTGCAGTTGTGCTCTCGTCACCGTGCGCCTTGCAAGGCCTGGGCTGGCGTCCCGTGTGCTTCTGGCATGAAAAGTCACCCGGCCAGTTCGCCTCTGGAAGGAGCGGGCGGCGGGGCTGCCGGTGTCACCTTCAGGGAGGCAGCGGGAGCCGTGGCTGGGCGCAGCCTCTCCGCACCCACCCCCGCGCACGCAGCGCCCCAGGGGAGCGGGGACAGAGCCGCCCTGCCCCGGGGCTCCCGGCCGGTGTCAGCAGCACCCGGCACCCGCAGCACCTGCGGCACGAGGCTGCCTGCGAGCTCAGCCGGTGGCCCTGCCCGCGCTTCTTGCCAGCGGCCGGGACAACGCAGCACCTCCGGACAGTGGCTGGCAGCTGTGGTCCCCCCGCTGTCCCCTGTCGCCGGGGCTGAAGGAGTGAGCAGGTTTAATACCCTGCTGCGTTGAGAAACCTGGCGCAAAAGCTCTCCCGAGCTGTGCTTTTCAGATTTGTTTGGTTTGCGGAATTTCTTGAAACTTTTCCAGCTGGGTTACGGTGTCTGTGGACAAAACGTGAACCTCCTGGGGAGAAGCCTGGCTTTCCTCGTGTTGTTGTCGCCTCTTTGTACAGCCTCTGTCCAGGAGCACAGGCTGGGAAATACCTGCTCAAGAAATAAACGAGAGAACCTGGTGTACTTGGGTTCTTGTACAAATCTGCCTTGAAAGCTTGGCTGTAAATCATGATGGGATTGCAGTGCAAGGAACAAACCCTTCTCCTGGCAGGTCTCGCCTCACTTGGGACCAGGAGGGACCTCTGGGCTCTTTCCCTGCAGCCGGGTGCTGCAGTGGTGAGCAGCGGGAGCAGTTTGGGGGCACAGCCCTGGGCTCGTCCCCAGCCCCGCAGCACCCTGAGGGCCCCTTTCTGTCCGTAGTGCCTCAAGAGCAGCGCTGTGACTGTCCCCGAAACGCTGCTCTTCATATCCACACTCGATGGGAACCTCCATGCAGTGAGCAAGAGCACAGGTGACATCAAGTGGACCCTGAAGGATGGTGAGGATGGGCCCGGTGGGGGCTGCTCGCAGCACGGGTACCCGCGGGCTGTGAGCAGGGGCTGGCGGCGCACCTCCACCATGGGGAGAGCTGTGGGCACGGCTCCAGCCCCAGGCACGGCTGCTGGCAGAGGGAGCATTTGCTGCGGGGCTATTTCCTGCTGCTGGCCGGGGCTATTCTGGGCCTGAAATGCAAATAGGCTGCTGACGTGCCCGTCTCGCTCTCTTTTTCAGATCCCATTCTGCAGGTGCCGGTTTATGTTGCAGAGTGAGTATGGCTCACATGGGGACGGGGCAGGGACAGTGCAGGTTGTTGGCCTTACAGCCTGTGCAGGGGGCTGACTAGCAAGGCTGCCCTGGTGACCCAGCAGATTCACAGCAAGAACCCGGAACCTGAGAGAAATTAAACTTCTAGGCCGTGCCGTAGCGTTGTCTCAAACCCACCCTTCTGCTAGCACCTCACACGCAATGAGGGCCGGCTGCTCCCTGCTGCTCAGCGGTAGCCGTGCAGCAAGCAGCCCACGAGCTCTCCGTGCCACTGTGCACAAAAGCGTAGGAGGGAAATTGAGGAAAGCCCCTAAATCCTTCTGAAGCTGCAGGGGGAAGGAGGGAAGCGCAGAGCCCCTCTGAGGCGGGCAGGGCAGCAGCTGCAGGGCGCACGCCGAGGCGCTGTGCGGACGCAGACCGGTACATCCCGCACCAGACCCAGTGCGAGAGGTTTCTGGGAAGGGTTAAGCGCTGACATGAGTCACCCTGGAGCACGCTGCGGAAGGGGTTTCATCACTGCGTCCCCTATTTAGCCACTGGCGTGTGCCCAGCAGTGGGGCACGGCTCACGTTTCACTCTCCTCTCTTCAGACCGGCGTTTCTTCCCGACCCCAACGACGGCAGCCTGTACATCCTGGGAGGGAAGAACAAGGAGGGCCTGATGGTCAGTAGTGCGGCCGGGGGCTGCCTGCATCCCACCCGCCCCTCTCTGCTTCCACGGGGCTGGGCAGAGCCGCTGGGCAGGGCAGGGCAGGCTCGGGGCGTTCGGAGGCTCCTGCGTGCCCTGGGCACCCTGGCGGTGTCAGCCTGGTGGCAGCACGTCCCCAGGAGGGCTGAGCTCAGGGGGACGTTGCGCTGGCACCGCTGCCACTCGCTGTCTGTGTTGCAGAAGCTCCCGTTCACCATCCCGGAGCTGGTGCAGTCCTCGCCGTGCCGCAGCTCGGACGGTGTGCTCTACACAGGTACCAGAGCCCCGCCGCAGGGCCCACCCGGGCTGAGGTGGGGAGGGGGCCCAGCAGAGTGGCTGCAGGGAGAGAGAAGAGCGCGGGGCCCTGGAGGTGTACGGCACGGTGTGGATGTGCTTTTGTTCGCAGGGAAGAAGCAGGACACCTGGTTCGTTGTGGACCCCAAGTCAGGGGAGAAGCAGACCACGCTCTCAACGGAGGCCTCGGATGGGCTGTGCCCCTCCAGTCCCCTGCTCTACATCGGCCGTACCCGTAAGCCAGCCTTACTTTGTCGTGTACCTGTGCTGGTCTGTCCGC